ACTTCTGCTTTGCTTGCATTAGGTTGTTCTCCATCTCCTTCTGATCACTCCTTGTTTGTCAAGCATTGTTCCACTACCATTACTGTCTTGCTTGTTTATGTTGATGATGTTATTTTGGCTGGTGATGATTTGCATGAAATTGATGATTTTAAGACTTATTTAAATGCCAGGTTCAAAATGATCTTGGTGATCTTAAGTATTTTCTTGGCCTCGAGGTGGCTCGCACAACTAAGGGAATTATGTTATGTCAGCGTAAATATGCCCTTGATATCTTAGCTGATACTGGTTTTCTAGAATCCAAACCTGCTACGACACCCCTTTACACTTCTTTAAAGCTACTAAAGGATGCTAGTGTTCCTCTGGAAGACAATTCCATGTATAGGAGGTTAGTTGGTCGTTCGTTGTATCTCACCTTTTCACGCCCTGACTTATCTTTTGCTGTACAATAGCTTAGTCAGTTTATGGACAAGCCCACTTCTTTGCATCTTCAAGCTACGCATCGCGTCCTGCGTTACCTCAAGAACTACCCTGCTTCTGGTATATTTTTTCCTGCCTCCTTTTCATTAACACTGAAAGCTTTTAGTGATTTCGATTGGGCTGGTTGTTCAAATACCAGGAGGTCAGTCACGAGTTTCTGCGTCTTTCTTGGTTCATCTTCAATTAGTTAGCGTGCTAAGAAGCAGCCCACGGTGTCCCGCTCTTTGTCAAAAGCAGAGTATCGTGCTTTAGCTTCTATCACTTGTGAACTTCGGTGGCTTTCTTATTTGCTCCTAGATCTTCATGTGTCTCATCCTCATCCTGCACTGATTTTTTGTGACAATCGATCTACACTTCAAATTGCTGCCAATCCAACCTTCCATGAATGCACCAAACACATAGAAATAGACTGCTATATTGTGTGTGAGAAGGTTAAAGCAGGTCTGATACATCTCATGCCTTGTTCTTTTTCAAACCAATTAGCTAATCTCTTTACAAAGTCTCTCACTCGTGCTCCATTTCAAGCATTAATTCTCAAGCTGGGAATGTTGTCTATCCATTCTCCAACTTGCGGGGGGCTCTCAGCTGATCCTAATACTTGATAATTAATTTGTTAAGTCAGTTATTAGTTTGTTTAATCAGTTAGGAGTTAGTTGCTTTACTGTTATATTAAGCTTGATTAGTCAGTTATTAGTTTGTTAATTAGTTAGGAATTAGTTGCAGTTAGTTACAAAACAAACTCATGAAGCTCCTGTATATAAGCTGTATTTTTCTCACTGTCAATGTAACGATTTCATTTTTACATTCCAAAATCCATTTCTTCACATAAGTAAACCTAGAGTACTAATAAGAGTAAACATGTAAGAACTAAACCTACTTAAACTAGATAACAATAATTTGGCATAAAATAAAATCTTAATCCTAAAATAAAAAAATCATAAACAAAATTAAATTTATCTAAATAGTTAAAAGCCAACTCATCAATGTAATCCAAATAAGCATAGTACTTTGCATCAATAGTGGTTTGTCCCAACGAGGCCTACGTCCACTCCTAGTCATCCTCCTTCAAGTATTCCAATATCTATCTTGGTTGATCACCTAAAAAGTAAATCCGATACAAATAGCTTTCCTCCACGTGTCATTAAACATTTGCACACAATTGCTTTACAAGGTGCAATTAAACCCCCACAAACACTAGATCTTACTTTCTCTTTCTAGAATAACCTAATAAAGGAAATTAGTCCAATAAATGAAATCTTAATATTAACGATATTTAAAGATGACTTTCGTATAAGTTTTTAATATATTTTTCTTTACAAAGGACTTATATTTGCTTTTCCTCTCTTCTATTCTACTCATTTTATATTTCCTTTTGTAAAGTCTAAAGACCAACTAGCCGACATTCTTACCAAAGTTGTAGCCAACAACACGTTTGATAATGCTTTAGACAAGTTAGGCATATGTGATGTCCATGCTCTAAGTTGAGGGAGAGTGTTAGAAGATCCTATGGAAATTTGAATAAACAATCTATGGATTTTATATTTAAACCAAACAATGGAATTTATCAAATGCATGAATTTTGAATCCATGGATTGTACAAAATCCATGGATTTTAAAATCCCTCAATCCAAACAAGGCCAAAATTCTTTTCAAGCTACATCTACATGTACAACCTTTTGTTTTCATTAAAATTCTTTTTAATTCATTCATTTTCTCTGTTTTAAAACCCGGACCGGACTAGGACTTGACAACTTTTCCTATCTAGTTCAGGCTTCAGGGGGTATTGTAATATTTTAAATTTATGAGGACTAACTTGTAATTTTCTAGGGGTGTTTTGGATCTATGCAAAAGTTTAGGAATTAATTGGTAATATTTGGGTTATTTTTAAATAAATAAAAATTTTAGGGACTAATTGGAAAATTTTTGGAGGTATTTTTGTAATATATAAAAATTTAAGGGATTAATTTATATTTTTTTTAAAATAAAATTATTGTTGACGTCACTGGTCCAACCGATTAAACCGGTTGACCGGTGACTCGATCACCTTACCAAGTCTCACAACGGATTGGGTTTTAAAATAATGTTCATTTTCTTATTTTCATGAGAATTCCAGTGCGATTATTTAGTTTGACTTTTATTTGCTTAAAATCATTAAAAAAATATATTTTTACACAAATTCTATTAATATTTTACTTTTTATAATAAAATTGTGTTTAGTAATTTTCGATTGGAATCAGATTCTAAATTGTTCTTTAATACAGATTTATTAAGGTAAAGCCTAAAATACCTCTACAAATGAATTTATAGAAAATATAATGTATTCTCTGCAAATCTAACCATGCCACGCAATCAATTTGACCGATCTTTCCAACAAAACTGAAAATTCGTAAGCAACTTTCAGTCAATCCACCACATACCATCACCAACACAAACAACATTTTCAAATAAAAAACTATCAATATGAGCAAAAATCTATAAACAGAAAAAATAATAGAATAATAGATAAATAAAGTCCCATAACCTGCTAACAAAAAATGAAAATGGAAGCCTTTCAGAGTTACTCCCCATTCTCTCTAAATTAAATCTTGCCCTCGCACTCAATTTCAGCCCCATATTTTTTGTGTTTTTACCATATAATATTGTCTTCTATACATGTTAGCATATAAAATGTTTTACGAGCCATTTATTATAAATTTTATATATAATATTATAGTAATTAAGTAACAAAATATGTACCTTTTTTATATGAATAGGGAAAGATCTATTGCACTATTTTCTTTTACATAGATTATAACAAAAACTTTAATTAGTCATTAGATCGATGCATTTCAAACAATTAAAATTATTAAGTGTATGATAATTGATACATAATTGATTACCTTATAAATGGCATTAGTTTGATTTAATTAACCATATATATATATATATATATATATATATATATTATTATAGATATATATATTGACAATTTAGGAGGGGAGATATAAAATGTATAAATAGCAAGAGATAATAACATGATAAATTATGGCATTTTATAGATATGGGAAAACTTAAAAACAATAATAAAAATTAAATGAGGAAAACATAAAATGTTCATGCTCATTGGTCCAGATACATTAATCCATGGAAGATGTAGTGAGGGTGATTGTGAGGGACTAGAGGATTACCAACTCAGCTGAACATGGAAAAAAAAAAAAAAAAAAAAAAAAGAAAAACCTTAGGTTGATCGCATATGCGATGCATAAGTGAAGCCCTCATTGGACTTAAGTGATATCAGTGATCAGAACATAATAAATATACCCACATCTTTAACTTCTTCTTATCACGATGATAAGAGCATGCATTTGCGTTTAACAAGTGCACAGGCTAACAAAACCAAATGAAAAGGTCTTTTTTGAAAATATGCAACCACAAATGGAAGGGAACTAGGAGCATTCGTGGTCAACAACTTAGCTTGTGATAGTAAGTGCACAAGGGTCAACAAAACAAATAAAATGGTCTTTTTTGAAGATATATATATGGAAGGAAGCACATAATACATCCATGCATAAACCAGTTAGTGATTCATTCCAAAACCGATGGACTGTTAAAACTACTGGCAATCAAGATTATTATTATTTGTATACCCAGCTCAATCACTAATTTGTCCTTGATAGTTGTTAGGGCCAAAAAATGTCCTCGGCCCAAATAGGATAACACTTCTGACAAAGAGGAAAGCCTAGGCCCAGTCCCGATGCGGCCCGAGCCAGAACTCCCTAGATAAGGCCCATCCGGTACGAAGTACAATCGGTCCACACCATCTGGACCCAGGCCTCCTAATCCCAGTACACTTCCTGGGCCTATGGTCGAATTCAGAGCCCACGGTCACTTACGGATCACATTCCTACTCGGACGCTGATAAGGTAGTCCACTACCATCCCAATTCCTCCTAGGTCCGTGTCAGAGTTGTACTTGGACTCCCTTTCACGCCAGGATAATGGGGCCAAAGGATATATCCCTGAAGGAAACAGATTACTATGAGAACTCCCAATCCCACCAGGATTGGGAGACCAGATAGTCACTATTTAAGCAGAGGCTAGCCCTCTCACAAGGGGATGACATTACACCTTCAGACCCCGGAGTTCCCGCTTAAGAACTTCACATTACAGCCGTAGTCACAGTCCGCGACTAGACTTCTGGTAACCTCTCTACTCCCTAGCCCTCACTAAATCAGCCTCTTTCAGCCTTGCTGACTTGAACGTCAGAGTGCCTATGGCAAACACCACCCCAGTGTTTTCCGTCGCTTCACGTTTGTTTCTCTACGTGTGCAGGTACAATAGATCGCTAGTGGCCTCAACCTCATGGGATTAGTCCCTCCTTCCGTACTGGTAGATTTTTACATCTACAGTTTGGCGCCCACCGTGGGGCCTCTAGCAATCATTTGGCTCAACGAACCCTGCTACGTGAAGAAACTTTCCATAGCTAACAATTCTGACAATGCTAACCCCGGCCTTGAGGCCAAATTGGAAGCTCTGATCACCCTCATGCAACAGAACTCAAATAAAGTGGCCGCACTGGAAGCTGAGAACACTGCTATCCGGACCGAAAATGCCTCCATCAGGGCCGAAAACCAGTCTCTGAAAGAGAAGGTAAGTCAGTTTTATGATCTTGAGCTTCTGCCTTGTCAAGTACCACCCAATCGGTTCCGCGCCTCGGTTCCATCTATGCAACCTCTCCACACCCCAGAGCACAGACCCGTGGCCTCAGATAAAAGGTCGCGTCAATTATGTTCGTCGGTGGTCGACGATTCTGTCTTGACTCCTGGAGAAAGGAATTTGCCAATGGAACCCTACTCGGTCGATCCACCTCAGGCACAGGATCAAGGCGTCCAAGTGACAGAAAGCCCACTACAACAAGAACCATCCATTCTCGCCATCCCACCTCACCGTCAATCAACCATCCCTACACAAACTCCATTCGGCTCGGTTCACCCTCGCGGGTCGAGTGGTCACCCATACCAAAACATCCCGCTGAAGTCCATCCATCCTAACAGACCGAGCGAGTACCAAACAACCCCCCTAACCATTCATGTCGAGCGAAACCCCCGATCAGTTACAATGGGAGTCACCCAACCGAAGGGAATGAACGGTGATCCAAGCTACCAAGCGATACATGAAGGAATGATCCACCAGGCTACACCACACGGAATGACCCAACAAAACATGCCGAGTGCGAATCCTATGGCCGACCAAGTCGAGCGGGATGGCCTATGGTATCCCCCTTTCCCATGGAATAGATATTGGCCAAGAGACTGGCCGACGTAGAGGCAGTGATGAGGTGCATACCAAGAATGCCGATCCCCACCAAAAAGAGCAAGCCTCACTGCTACGCCAATTTGCCCTTCGTGGATGCGATCGCGTTAGCTGACATGCCCCACAAATTTACTATTCTCGGCATGAAGCTCTATGACGGAACAACCGACCCAGACGATCACATAGCCTCGTACAAGCAACGAATGTTCACTGTCTCGATACCCCGAGCATTGAGGGAAGCCTGCATGTGTAAGAGTTTTGGTTCAAGCTTATCTGGTCCAGCTCTTTAGTGGTACACCAATCTCCCGAACGGTTCCATCGACTCATTCGAACAGCTCACCAACACCTTCGTGGAGCAATTTGCCAGCAGCAAAAAACTCAAGAAACTATCGGTCGACCTGTACAAAGTATACCAGAGAAGGGGGGAGCTGCTGAGAGAGTACGTCAGCAGATTCAACAAAGAAAAAATTTCCATTCCTTTCTACAACCCCGAGACAACCGTAGACGCCTTCAGGAAGGTTCTCCTCTCGGATGGAGAATTTTACAAAGAAGTGACGAAGCTTGGCTACACCACGATGGAGGACGCCTTGGCCAGAGCTGTGATTCAGATAAGGTGGGAAGAAGATGAGATGAATCGGGCAGTTCACGCTAGGTATGACCCAAGGCGGAATGATAAGAGGCTATAGCTTAGATCGATGGAACCTCGTTACCAACCCCCTCCACTTAACCAGAACAAAGTCAGGAAACCATATGACTGCCAATCACCTAAAACTGACAACAGACCAACCGGCCCGATCCGATACAAAATCCCAGAATACAACCTTAACGTCGAACCAGCCCAAGTCGTGGCGATCATGAAAGGAATGGGGTCTAGCGTTAAGTGGCCAGGCAAGTTCAATGCCGAAGCAAGGAGAGATACGACCAAGTGGTGTGAGTTCCACGACGACCATGGACATAACACCGGGGACTGCATTGCCCTAGGGTTGGAGGTCGCCGCACTATTGAAGAGGGGACATCTCTGAGACCTATTAACAGATAAATGGAAGAACACTATCAGCCAGAAGAGCACTAAAGGAATATCTCCACCTCCACGGGAACTTACACCGAAAGGATTCTGGTCGCTCATCTCCAGAGGGTCAGAGATCAGTGGGGTCAGTTACTCCTCAGCCAAATGCTATGCCAGAGCCAACAGCTATCATGAAATCCAATCCATCCATCCGCCTTCTTGGTCACACTCCCATTAGGTAATTCAGTTCGAAGATGACGAGCTGGTCACCCTGGCCGCCCCCCATCACGATGCTCTAGTCATCTCCCTCCAGATCGGCAACACTTGGTCAAGAGGGTATTCATAGACGAGGGATCCTCAGCAAACATCCTTTTACTTAGAGTAGTGAAGGCTATGGGTCTGGAAGAAACAAACATCAACAGACGTCGACCCTACTGGTAGGGTTCAGTTCTAAGCAGAAATACACCATTGGAGAGATCGTCCTTCCTATTTACACCAACGGAGTAAACAAGTAGACCATTTTTCTAGTGATCGACCGTCCCTCACCATACAACGTCATCTTGGGCCGACCTTGGATCCACGATATGCACGCGGTTCTATCCAGCTTCCACCAAACGATCAGGTTTCCTACCAAATGGGGAGTATGGGAAATCAAGGGTGACCCTAAGGCTTCCAGAGATTGCTACAAGAACGCCTTTAAGAGCAAAGGTAATGCTTTATAGCAATTACAGTCTCATCCAACCCCTCCGACCGAGCCAGATCAACTATCTATGGAAGAGTTGGATGAAGTACAGATACACCCGGAAGACCTCGAAAGAAAGACCTAGATAAATTCTCGCCTTAGACCCGAGACAAGGGAGAAACTGATAGAATTCCTCAGACAAAACCAGGACTGCTTCGCTTGGTCCCACGCTGACATGACAGGAATCAACCCAGAGGCAATGGTCCACCACCTCAAAGTAAATCCGAATCACCCGCTAGTGAAGCAGAAGAGAAGGAAATTCACACTAGAGTGCAACCGGATCGTCAATGAAGAGGTTGAAAAGTTACTGAGTAATGGTATGATCAGAGAAGTCCACTACCCCGAATGGCTGGCAAACATCGTGGTCGTAAAGAAAAAGAACGGCAAGTGGAGGGTCTGCATTGACTTCACAGACTTAAACAAAGCATGCCCTAAGGACTCCTTCTCGCTCCCATATATCGACATGATAGTCGATGCGACCGCAGGCCACGAGCTCCTAAGCTTCATGGATGCTTTCTCAAGGTACAACCAAATCTTGATGCACCCCGACGACCAAGAGAAGATGACATTCATCACAGAAAGGGGAACATACTGCTACAAGGTGTGCCATTCGTTCTCAAGAACGCCGGGGCTACCTATCAGTGGCTAGTTAATAGAATGTTTGTCGAACACCTCGGGGATACCATGGAGGTTTACATCAACGACATGCTCGTCAAGTCCCTGATAGCCGAGCAGCACCTTGACCATCTCAGCCAGGCGTTCGCCATCCTAAAGAAGTATAACATGAAGCTGAATCCAGCCAAATGCTCGTTTGGTGTCTTGTCAGGTAAATTCTTGGGATACATGGTGACTCAGCGAGGGATAGAAGCCAACCCCGACCAGATCAAAGCGATCCTCAATATACCATCTCCAACTTGCATCAAAGACATCCAGTGCCTCGCAGGACGAGTAGCCGCCTTGAGCAGCTTCATTTCTAGATCCGCTGACAAGTGCAACCTCTTTTTCCACGCACTTAAGAAATCCAAGAAGTTTGAGTGGACCCCTTCCTGCGAGGAAGCCTTGCAACAATTGAAGAGATACCGGACCTCCATTCCACTCATTTCCAAACCTGTAGATGGGGAGAAGCTTTACACCTATCTAACAGTCTTAGAGACAACAATCTCAGCAGTATTAGTTTGGGAAGATGATACGAAGTAGCTATTGGTTTACTATGTAAGCAAGTCACCCATCGACGCGGAAACACGATACAGTCAGCTGGAGAAACTGGCCCTTACCCTCATCCATTCATCCAGGAAGCTCACACCATACTTTCAGTGCCACTCCATAGTCGTACTCACCTCTTTTCCACTCAAGAATATACTGTACAAACCAGAGCTATCAGGCCGACTCACGTAATGGACGGTAGAGCTTAATGAGTACAACATATTTTTCCAGCCACGTACTGCCGTCAAGTCCCAAGCACTGGCAGACTTCATCGTTGATTTCACCCTGAGCACCACCATCCAAGTAGAAAGAGAGTTGTTATGTATTAACAGTGGGTCACCTTCTAAGTGGACTCTCTCAGTAGATGGCTCAAGCAATGTGAATGGAAACAGGCTTGGGCTAGTACTAACTACACCAGAGGGAGATGTCATCCAGCGGGCCATCCGATGTGGTTTCAAGTGCACGAACAACGAAGCTGAATATGAGGTTCTCATCGCTGGACTTTCCCTAGCCAAGGAAATTGGAGCAAAGAGACTGGAGGTAAAGTCCGACTCCCAGCTCGTGGTCAACCAACTGCAAGGCACTTACCAAGCACGCGACTCGAAGATGACGGCCTACTTGAACCTGGTCAAAGAATTACAGAACCAATTAGAAGAATTCTCCATCGCTCAAGTACCAAGAGTGGAGAACTCTCATGCTGACACCCTTACTAACCTCGGCTCAGCGCTTCAATGTTCTTCCCAGTCATCCATCCCTCTGTTATTCCTGCAATGGCTAGCCAACTGGAAGGAACAACCAGCAAACAAGTCGCCTGAGAAGCAATGGACATCGAACTAGCTGACTGCTGGATGACCCCGATAGTGAAGTACTTGGAACACAACGAGCTAACAACGAGCTCCCGGCTGACAAAAACAAAGCGCGCCGCCTGAGAGCAAGAGCTGCCAGGTTCACCATATATGAGGGCTAACTTCTTAGGAAATCATTCTTTGGTCCCTACCTAAAGTGCACATGCCCAGAAGAAGCTAAACGCATTCTCGCAGAACTCCATGAAGGTGAATGTGGAAACCATGCAAGGGGACGCAGCCTTACACACCGGGTGATCACCGCTGGATACTATTGGCCAACCATATGCACTGATTCAGCTGCTTATGTTAAGAAGTGCGACAGTTGTCAAAGGTTCACTCATGTCTCACACCTCCCACTCGAGCGACTCTATTCCATCCTCACACCTTGGCCCTTCATGAAGTAGGGAATGGACATAGTAGGAAAGCTACCAACCGCGCCCGAGCAACGAGTCTTCCTATTGGCTATGACAGATTACTTCACTAAATGGATCGAAGCCGAAGCTTTCGCACAAGTCAGAGACCAAGAGGTAAAAGCTTTTATCTGGAAACATGTCATCTGCAGGTTTGGGATACCGAAGGAAATCGTCACCGACAACGGATCCCAATTTATCAGTTCAGGCTTTAGGGATTTCTGCGACATGTGGGAAATCAAGCTGAGCTTCTCTACTCCCTGCAACCCCCAGTCTAACGGCCAAGCCGAGTCATCGAATAAAACCATTATGCAGACCTTAAAAAAATGATTGTAGAAAGCGAATGGTACATGGGCAGATGAGCTACCCGGAGTCCTTTGGTCCTACCAAACTATAGCTCGCTCATCAACGAGTGAGACTCCCTTCTCCCTCACATACGGTTCTGAAGCAGTCATCCTAGCCGAAGTATCAATTTCGTCCACCAGACTCCAATGGGCGGATGAGGAAACCAACAACCAAAACCTCTGCCAGACCTTGGACACCATCGATGAGATACGCGAGCGGGCGAGCATCCATAACGCAGTCTATCAGCAATAGGCCGCCCGACACTACAACCACAATATCAGGATCATAACTTTCAAAACAGGCGACTGGGTTCTCTGCAAGGTCTTTCAAAACACTAAGGAGATCAACTCTGGCAAACTCGGTCCCACTTGGGAAGGTCCCTACAAGATCACTAAAGAAGCGGGGAAGGGTGCCTACCGACTCTAGACTCCTGAAGGCAAAGACATCAGCAACAATTGGAATGTAGTCCACCTCAAACGCTATTACTTTTAGGTGAACTCATTCATCTACATGTTCGTTTTTTCTTTTTGTTTTTATTTAAAAGGGGATGAGTAGGCCTATCCACCTCCCCATAGACAGCCGGCCTTATGGCCCGAATTTAATGAAGTATTATTCAGAAATTTACATCTTCGGATCGACCCTGCTCGATCAAATGATTTTTACACCTTTGGATCGACCCTACTCGATCCACAGATATACACATTCGGATCGGCTTGGCCGATTCACGGATTTACACCTTCGGATCGACCCTGCTCGATCCACGGATTTACACCTTCGGATTGACCCTGCTCGATCCATGGATTTACACCTTTAGATCGGCCCTGCCTGATCCACGGATTTACACCTTCGGATCGACCCTACTCAATTCACGGATTTATACCTTCGGATCGACCCTGCTCGATCCATGTATTTACACCTTTGGATAGGCCCTGCCCAATCCATGGATTTACACCTTCGGATCGACCCTACTCGATTCACGGATTTACACCTTCAGATCAACCCTGCTTGATCTACGGATTTACACCTTCGGATCGGCCTTGCCCGATTCATGGATCTACTCCTTCGATCGGCCCTACCCGGTCCATGAAGCTACAATTCAGTCGGCCAGATTGATTGAAGGTTTCTTACACCTCAA